GGACGGTCGGCTGCCCAGAAGCAGCTCCGCCACAGAAGGCCTCTTGCCACCCTTGCCCGGTCGCCGTGTTGAAGACTGCAGTGAGCCTGACCCTGGGGGTCTCCTCTCAGCCCTCTTCCAAGACCTTGCCTTTGTCTCTGGAGCCTGAAAAGAGACGGCTCCCTGGCTGGGGCGGCCACCATCCCGTTATGTGTTGGCTGTCTCTTAATTCACAGATGTGCCCCATGAATGTTCAGAGAGGATGAGCCTGGGAGCTTCCCTCTCTGCCGGACCGACGCTCTGGGTCACAGCGGACACACCTGTGCGACCTGTTCTGATCGCAGGCAGTGCGTCTGCGGCAGTACCACCCCAAACGCGCCCGATCTCGTCTGATTGCCCACAGTGCAAAGGCAGACTCAGATTGCTCAGAACATCAGGTGTCTGCTGGGCCAAGCAGAGGGAGGCATGGCCTGGACCTCTGGGAACTCTGCCCAGTGGCCTGGACATATGAGAGACAGCCAGCCCTGCTGGATGGAGGGAGAAGATCCGTCAGGAAGAGGCCCCGCCAGCCTTGGGAAGGAAGGAAGAAAACAGAAGCTGTACGAGGCTCTAGGTACCAGAAGTCCCAGCAAACGCGGTGGCTGTGAGAGCAGGTGTATGGGGCTACCGCAGGGTTCCCAGAGTCCGAGCTGGGCACAGCAGGTCCTGGCCGGGAGGGGACATGGAGCCCCTGACAGGCCGCTTCACATGGGAGGCTTTGGAAGCTCTTTAAAAATCCATACGTTATTAAAGTAATTTTCTCCTCCAGTTTCCCTCCTCTGCGTGATCGTGTTTGAGGAAACCAAGTGGGGCTAATGTTCCCGGCATGAGTTTGTGCTTCCCTGGTGGCTTCTGTTGGTGGCTGGGCCTGGTTCTCTTGGGGGTGAGGCGGGGTTGGGCAGGCAGAGCCGTTCTGAGCCTCCCTTCACCCGCACGAGCCTGGGCCCGGGGGCTCCCTGCTTTCCAGGTCGGAGGAGGCTGGGAACCAGCCATGCCCAATTGGCCGTCTTCAGAAGAACCCAGGGCACTTGGCTGACATTTGTCTTACAACCCTCGACTGTGCAATGTACTAGAGGGGCCCTCGCAGCCGTGTATCCTGCCCCACCCCAGCTCCAGGCAGGACTGGGTGTAAACCATTTTCCTCAGATCACTGTCTTACTCACTTTTCTAAAAATTACGTCCGAAGATGCAGCTACTGTAGCATCTGTTGGGAAGGCTTTCCTGCCTTCACTTGCTGTTGGCCAGGAAAGCTTACATCACTGCTGTGCAGACCTGCCAGGCTCAGGGGAAGGACCAGCCTGAAGATGCTCCCAGCCCCCCCCCCCGCCCGCCCCCCGAGAGACACTGGACGCTCGTGGTCTCATGTGGTCTTCACCCAGGAATGGGGAGGTCTCGGTTCTCAAACCTGCTGTGTGTGTTACATGTTACGTGTTTTTACATGTTCCCTGTGAGTGTCGGGTTTATTCACGCTTGGGGCTCTAGCTACTCATTTTAAAGCATCTGAGCAGAACTGGAGGACACTGTGGAAGGGGAGAAGAGGGTAAGAGGGTGTGGGGGAAGGGGAGAGAGGAACAGGAAGCTGTGGCTGCCTTGCAGATGGACACCCGGGAGTCCCCATCCACAGAGGCCTGGGGCCAGCACGCCCCTCCAGTGAGCGTGGAGAGCGCGGAGCGCTGGCTGGCGTATTTCCGCATAAACTCCCAGTGGAGAGACCCCTCTGCGAGCCTCATTTGAGTGCAGTATTGCAGAGAACAGATGACTCCCACCAAGAGACCACGCGTGTTTGGGGTCCTCGGGAGAGGAGGTGGCATTTAAAGCTTGTCTAGAAAGCCTACTTTGAAGACAGGGAGGGTTACGTGTTCTTGAGGCCCAAGTGCCTGAGCCCTCGGAGAACAAGCTCCCCCAATACCTTTTCTCTCTTCTCTTCATTTGTTTGGAGAGCTGGGGACAGCATCTGTCCTCTGGGTGCCACCGCGGACTTCCCAGTGGCAGAATGGAGAGTTGAGAGAGTGACCCGCGGGTTCATCACATCTAAAGTCATCACTTTACGGAGGAAGGGATGGAGACCAGGAGGACCAGGGGCTCTGAGGGCAGTGCCAGACCTCAGACAGCCCTGTCCCATTTCTCAGGTATCTCGCTTGCACCTCCCTACCCCATAATCTTCAGTGACCTGGGGCAGAGCTGGGACTAGGATCTGAGTCACTTAATTCCAGGTCAGTGTTTTATTCCCCACCCCCCAAAAGCCCCATGCTTTCTCTGTAGCCTGCTGGCCAGGGCGCAAATCAGTGGGCAGTAGAATGAAACACCAGAGTAACATGACTTAAAAGAGTGCAGGGTGGACTTCACCCCACAGTGGTGCTCCCATCAGCACATAACTGATGCTTGACTTTCCACCATTAGAGATTCATTCCTTTGTAACTTGGAGGTGGCGCCGGCTTCGAGTCTCCCTGTGAGATGCAAATACTTGCAGGAAGACCACCAACAGCTGATAGCCCGTGACCTGCTTGAGCTGTTTCTCCAAGAGCCTTGATCTCTGACGGTGGGGGTGGTGGCGGAGGGGAAGCCAGGACAGAGAGATTTTGGAACCTGTTGAAACGGGAAGACAGAGCTGGGACCGGTGTGGGAATGGGTCCTCCCCGTTGTAGACATTCCATAGATGCTGTGTCCTGTCCACCCACGCATATGTGACAGAGCATGACCAGATACACTGGTGGGAAGCTCCTTTCACGAGGCAAGAGCAGATGTTTGGAAACTGAAAAGGAAAGACAAGGCTGTCCACCCATTCACCATCCATGGACGCCCAGCCCCAGGCTTTCTGTACGCTGGTGCCGGGCCCCTCTGCTCCCCCAGCACCTCATTTGCATGAATTGACCTGCATGGGCGCTTTTGTCCATGGCTGAAGATGGAGGGGCTCGAGCTGTTACTTTGTAAGTGGGAGATGGGAAGAGACCGAGGCAGCACAGAGGATGGTGCAGTGTCTGTGATCCACCCTGACCTGGTCCTCGAGCCCTTCCAGAGGGAGGGAGGGCAACGGCCAGAAACAGAAAGGGCCATTTCCTCAAGAGACCGGGAGCTCAAGGGGTGGGCCTGGGGGCTTGTCAGACCTACCCCTGCTTCTGCACAACACTGGGAGTTGCCGGGCGCTGGGGGAAACGGCAGCCCCAACAAAGCCGTCAGCATACTTGCGAGGAACACGGTCACCATGGGCAACAGTAAGCTCCTGAAGCAACCTCAAGGTTACTGGACACTGACTAAGGAAGCAGAGACGAAGAAGGAGATGTATGATGTGGTCCTGCAGGGCCTCCAGGGGACTCTCAGAGGGCCGTGGGTGGGGAGGGCGTTGTAAGGACCTCTCTGTCGCATGAGGGTCCAGGAAGAGGGACTTTGGGCCACTGTTACTTAGTTGTGACGCAGGATGGCGTGGCCTGCTTGTGCTGGAGCTCCCCTTACACCATCTGAACTCTGCCTGAGATGCTGATAGACAGAAACAGCTCGATTGCAGGACCCGCTCAGAGGAAGGCGAGGCGCTCCCGGGTGCGGTGTCCCTCCTCCTTCCCGCTCAAGTCGAGGCCGTGATTGGACAGGACTGGAAAGTTTGCCCCAAACTCCATCTGGGACAGGGCGGAATTTTCAGGGACTCTGTTATCCAATCAGGAGAAGGAGTGGGGAAGTCTAACCTTGCCTTAATGAACTCGAGGTAAAATGAGAGTCAGATCTGCTCAGAGCCATCCAGCCGGAAACCATGACCTGAACCTCTCAAGGCCTGGTTTCGGGGCCAGCAGGAAAAGACACAGATGCAGATTTGTTTTAAGAAAAGAAAAGGCCGACTTTGCAGGCTGGGAAAGTCAGGGCATATAAACAAAGTGGTTCTGATGCGATTCTCCTCCTCTTCCTCCGCCATCCACCTGCCAGAGCTCTGCTCTCTCCTGCCTGCCTGTGACAAATCCCACGTTCGCTCAGGATGCACTAAGTCCTGACACAGTCGGGGGCAGATTTGGCCTCCTGTGCAAGCTGAGTCTTCCAGAAGTTTAAGAAAAGGGGGGCATTGTCCTCTATACCTGCAAATATGGTACATGACCCAGGGTGACCCCACTAAGAGCGGTTACTGAGCAGAAGTGACAGGAGAAGCTGCAGTGAGAATACGGGTTGACAGGTGCCATTCAGGAGTTGCCCTGTCTGGAGCCATTGCCGGGCTGCCGGCTGCTGTGGCCTCTGGGGGCCGCGTGCACTTCCTCCGCTGAGCCTGACAGCAGCGGGTGCCGTCCTGCCACGTTAAGTCGGTCACATCCAGCCGCGTGCCCCGCACCACCACGTCCGTTTACTGAGGTCTGCAGTGAGCCTGGCTCTGGGTCAGGCCCTTTGCGACAACCTGGCCCAACTCTCTTTTGCAGACGGGGATCTTGGGGCTCAGAGAAGTGGAGTGATTGCCCAAAGTCACAGAGCAAAAGGTCAGAATCTGGATTTAAAACCAGGTCTGTGCTCCTTCAGCCGGTGAAGTTGGGGAGACGTGGGCCCTGGGCTGGGGTCAGTCCCCTACCAGGCATGTGACTCGAGCAAACTCTGGAACCTTCCTGGGCTGTCCCATCCTGAAGGACAAACGGGTAACAATGAGACGCACACCTGGGGTTGGTGTGTGGACCCAGCGCCTGGCCTGGAGTCACCACTCGGTCACTCTGAGGTCCCCAGGCTCCCCTGCTCCTGCCAGCCCCTAGGAGGGAGGCAGCCCACCCCACGGGGGAGGCCCTTCGCTTGGCCAGGACATTTCCAGCCCGGGGGAGGGAAGCCCGACCCTCCAGAAGCTGCAGGTGCATTTGAACTAAATGGATACCTGGACAGTCCTTGAAATCAAAGCCACTCTTTTCTTGCTGTGGGATTTGAAAATGTCACCTAACCTTCATGTGTTTTTTCCTGTGGAATAACTTGCACACTCCATAACCCTGAGAGGTATGTTAGGATGGTAACTGATTCTGGTTTTCCCACAGGTGAATCAGCCCCACAGGGGACTGCTCCAGAGAGGATGAGGACTCTGGCCGGCTCCTCTAGTTGGACCCGCTGTCCAGGGGGCTGGACCATCACTCGTGGCCATCACTGTGTATTGGGGCAGCATCTCAATCTGAATATGTTTCCAAGCCATGAATCGTGAGACAGAAATTCCACTTGCACATACCTGGGTGCATAAAATGTATCAGGGAATTCACACCATGGATAAAGAAGAGGAAGGGGGCTCAGAGAGGTGAAGTGACTTCCTCAAAGCCACCTAGCTGTTTAATGACGGAGCTGGGACCAGAGCCAGGGCCGCCGAGCCCTGCAGGGGTGCTCCTCCTCCACATCACGCCATGTCTTTACCTCCCGTGGACAGACACGCTCTTCCAGGGAGAGATGCTGGGAAGGAGACTCACTTCTATCAGAATCCTGTTTTCTGGGAACTGTGCTCAATGCTTCATCCACTAAGGCTCATTTGATTCTCACAATCCATCTGCCGGAGAGAGAGAGGACCATTAAGCCGGCTTTACACGGATGGAGAGATTAACCTACTGATCTGGAAGATCACAAGGCCCAGGCTCTGGCCAGATGTCCCCTTCCTCCTCCTCCTTCCTCCCTGGGCCTCTCTCACAGCTGGAAGCATCCTCTGAGAGCCTCAAGTGGGAGGCTTTAAGTGGTAAGGTTTCCTTGGGTTACGGGGTGATGGGTGGGTCACATCTCATGGGCAAGTCTAAATGCAGTAGATGTTGTTTGAGAAGGGAGCCAGACAAGACCCTTCTGGGAAGTGGAGCGTGTGGCTTTCCGGGTTCGGGGCTTCTCTCCAGCACTCAGTACCAGTGGCGGTGGCATCCTGCCATCCACCCAAACTCCCCTCCAGGCACTGCCTTCTGGAAGAAACGGCACTGAGGGTGGCCCCGCAGGCCTGAGTGTCCTCTGTGTCCGTTCCACCTGAGCAACAGGTAATTGATGCCAATTTTGGGGGGTCTTTACTGTTTTTCAGACCATGGAACCTCTTGGTGACATCCAGCTCATGCCTGCTGCTTGGAATCGGACTGGTTTCCCTCCAGGGAAAAACGCCCCCCCGTCTCAGCACCTCTCATGAGCGCGTCCCCAGGCTGTGGGGCTTTTGGTGTGGAAGTGCCTTTAAAACAAGGGTTGTGTCTCTTATTCACATGTCTTCCTCCTCGGGTGCCTAATCCAAGGCTTGGACGCAGTAAGTGGTTTTGTAACTGACATTGGAATCGCAGAGGGGAAGGAAGGCTGGCTTTGCAGCTCCCAAGGGTTCAGGCTACCCTCTGAGAAATCCAGTTTTGGGAAGGTTCTGGCAACACATATTCAAATGATACCACTTTTGGGAAATTATCATATGGAAGTAAAAGGTCCTGTTCACAAGGGTATATGTGAAAGAATGTTTATTGCAAAATTAGAGTGACAGGAAACGAGGAGCGACTTGAAAATCCATCAACAGGGTGCTGGATTACAAAAGTATGGTTTGTCCACGCAGTGAGGCATTTGACAGCTTTTAAAGGTCGTAACTTGGATGAGCATGTGGTAACCTGGAAAGAAGCCTATCATACACTGTTTAATGAATAAACCAAGTTGCTAAGCAATGTATATAATACGATTCCACTTCTATACAAAGTACAGATGGCCCCTGACTTATGGAGTTTCAATTTACGATTTTACGACTTTATGATGGTGCAAAAGTGCTAGGAAGGCGTTCAGTAGAAACCATACTTTGAATGTTGAATTTTGATCTTTTCCTGGTCTAGCAACAGGCAGTCAAATACACTCTGGGGATGCTGGGCAGAGAGGACAGCCCCCAGGAGACCCCGCAATCACGAGGGTGAACAACCACCACACTTAGAATCATCCTGTACCCAGCCAGCCACTGTGTTTTTCACTGTCAGTATAGTGTTCAGTCAATTACATGAGATGTTCAACACTTTATTCTGAAACAGGCTTTGTGCTGGGTGCTCTTGCCCAGCAGTAGGCTGTAAATGCACTGAGATGTTTAGGTAGGTGAGGCTCACCTGTGACGTTCAGGAGGTTATGTCAATTGAATGCATTTTTGACCTGTGGTATTTTCAGTTCAGGATGGGTTTATTGGCATGTAACCCCACTTTTTTTTAAATTGGAGTAGAGTTGATTTACAATGTTGTGTTATTTTCTGGTGTACAGCACAGTGATTCAGTCATACACACACACACACACACACACATATATATATATTTTTCATTATAGGTCATTACAAGCTATTGAGTATAGTTCCCTGTGCTCTACAGTAGGACCTTGTTTATCTATTCTGTATATAACTGTTTGTATCTGCCAATCCCAAACTCCTAATTTATCCCTCTCTCCCTCCCCTTTGGTGCCCGTAAGTTTGTAGTCTATGTTTGTGAGTCTATTTCTGTTTTGTAAATAAGTTCATTTGTGTATTTTTTAGATTCCATATATAAGTGATATCATATGATATTTGTTTTTCTCTGTTTGACTTAGTTTGCTCAGTATGATCATCTCTAGGTCCATCCATGTTGCTGCAAATGGCATTATTTCAATCTTTTTTATGGCTGAGTAATATTCCACTATATATATATACACCACAACTTCTTTATCCAGTCATTTGTAGATGGACATTTAGGTTGCTTCTATGTCTTGGCTATTGTAAATAGTGCTGCAGTGAACATTGGGGTGCATGTATCTCTTCAAATTAGAGCTTTCTCTGGATATATGCCCAGGAGTTGGGTTACTGGATCATATGGCAACTCTGTTTTTAGTTTTTGGAGGAATCTCCCTACCATTTTCCGTAGTGGCTGCACCCAGTTGCATTCCCACCAACAGTGTAGGAGGGCTCCCTTTTCTCCACAGCCTCTCCAGCATTTATCCTTTGTAGACTTTTTCATGACAGCTGTTCTGACTGGTGTGAGGTGATACCTATGGTAGTTTTGATCTGCATTTCTCTGATAATTAGCGATACTGAGCATCTTTTCATGTGCCTGTTGGCCATGGGGAATGTAATCCCACTGTAAGTCAAGGAAGATCTATGCATACATTTGTATGAGAAACAAATAGGGGACATACAGCAAGATGTTAATGTTACCTTAGAAGGGTGACATTTTAAATTTTAAAAAATCTAGCAAGGTTTATATATATATATATATATATATATATATATATATATATAAACACCTTTGGGAAGAGAAAAGATGTATCAGGGCGGTTAAATGGTCCAGAAAGGAAACAGGCGGCGTCAAGCACAGCTTGCTTTAGCCACCTCTGCTCCCTGGGCACTTTCAGGTGGGGCGACCCCGCAGCGCCAGAGAACAGCCCTGCACCAGGACTGACCAGCGTGTGCTATGCCCCAGGTGACATCAGTGCATAATGCTTTTGGGGGGCCAAGGCTGCAAAACTTCTCACCCATAAAAGTTTTGGAAGCACACAAGGACTTTGGTATCCTGATGAGGCACGTGTCCCCAGTCCTGCTTGAAAGGAGGCTACTGAGCTCCCGGTTCAGGCCCTAAAGCCCCAGGGTCTCCCTGTCGGCCTCCCTGACCATAAGCCGCTGGTTACAGCTGCACATACGTCCTCCGATAGTGCTGAATCCGTCACCAGCTCCTCCTGGAAGGTATGTCATCAGGGCAGGGCTGGCTCTTCTCTTCATTTTTCAGGTCCAGAGTCCCTAGCACAATGCTTGGCTTAGACTAGTTGCCTCGTAAGGGCTAATGGAAGGAAGTGTGTGCTGAGTGACAGTGCCAGACAGACCGAGCTGACTTCCAGCTGGCCCTGGGGGACTCAGGAGGGGTTTTTCAGAAAAAGACGAGCCTTTATGAAGGATTTGGAAAGGAGAAAAGGAGTGGAGTGTACAACTCCCACCGAGTGGGAAAAGCTGATTTCTGTTTCCGGAAGAACGTCTTGGTATCTTTAAGGGCTTTGCTGCTGCTGCGTCCCTCTTCGCCCCCCTCCAGAGAAGTCTGAGTTCCACCACAGGCCACTGAGAGGACGTCTGGGTGTCTTTCGAGCGCTCCTCACCCCGAGAGGAAGCTAGGTGACGGGAGTCTAGTATTCAGCTTTTCAGGGGCATGAGACACCAGGGCTTAGGTATTATGCAGAGATACTAGAAAATGCCTCCCAGATACAGTTAGAAAAATAATCAAGCCAGACGGTATCATATCCAGCACAAAACCACAATGAATTGATTTAATCAGAACAAGGAAGAAATAACATTCTGGTTTTTATGGCCAAAAAAAAAAAAAAGGAAAGAAACCCAAATTACTTTGCAGGCGTTGGTGGCACTCTTGCAAGTTGTTTCTTGGAACACAGTTGAAGCGCTAATTCGGCCTTGGGTTAGGGAGAGTTAGGACCGTGGAGGCTTCCGCGCAGGAGAACTCCCCAGGTGTGGGGCTGTCTGGAGGCTCAGCCAGGTAGCTGGCTGCGGCAGCCTTGACGTGGTTCCCAGCTGGCCCAGAAGACACTGAGATTGCTGCTGGGTTAGCTGCTGCGGGGTGGAGACGGATAACGGCTGTGGCCTGATTCCTGGGGAGCCGTCGATTCACTGCAGCGTGTCTTGGCCATATGTGAGCCCCCGCCACGTGTGAGCTTCCCCGGGGAGGAGGAGGGGGAGGCCACGTGACATGTCTTCTGTATCTCCTTTTAACCACATTTAAACAAGCTAGAGCCTGCGCTTTCCCAGACAGTGGGGTCTGCAGGTCCCACTGCCCCCTGACACCGGGCACTGGGATTTGGGAGGCGGCAGAGAAGTGCTGACGTGCTCCTGAGGCTGCGCTACTGCACAGTCTTCACCTTCGGGGGGGCTGAGAGGAGACAGTTAGGGAGCTGCCGCGTGGTGTGTGTGGAACCTCAGAGGCCTTGCTTGGCTTTCCAGGGCTTGCAGTCTGCTATAACAGCCATGCCAAAAAATTAGGCCGGTCCAGCTCTTCCACTGGCAGGAAACTCAATTTCTCTGTGGCATCTCATAAAGCTGGAAAACTTTTCCAATTATAGTCCTCCCCCCAAGAGTCCCATTCCAAGCTCTGCAAGTACCTCCTGGCTCTCAAGAACCTCTGTGCTAGAGATGGACCTAGTTTCTATAGTGTAGTGGGTCCTCCTCATAGTTTGGAGGGCTCTCCCTGTAACTTAGGGACCTTTCTCTCTGGGTCTTTTTGTCTCCTCCAAATATCCGGTTATCCTCCACCATGACTGCCCATTAGAATTATCCAGGGACTTAAAAAAAAAATCCGGATGCCTAAGTCTCACTAAATCATACTCTCTGGGGGTGCAGCCAAGGCACTGGCATTTCTGCAACTCCCCAGAGGATTCTCAGCAAGGTTGAGAACCACTGCCTTGTTCCTGGGACCCGGCTAACCTGTCGAAGACCATGCTGGCATCCTGAATTCTCATGCAGATCCTACCACTTGGGCAGGTCTCTGTGTGTCATCTGTCACGATGGAATAGTAACAGCATCTCCAAGACTTAAACCTCACGAGGACACATTGTATCTAGGAGCTTCTCCAGCGTGTGATAAGCGCTCTATCAAGTTGAACTCAGAGCCTAGGACAGGGCCTAGCAAGTGTTAGCGCAATGTCTGAGCTTTGACCATGAGCCAGGCATTGTTCTAAGGGCTTTCCATGTACTATTTCAACGTTTTGCGGCACTGACGATCTAGCGTAAGGAAAAATGATCCAAGCAGACTGTCTTCAAGACCTCTTTACCCCGTCTGGCATATTGTCCAGACCACGCATTTAACTCACATCCTGGAGAACTCCCTGCGTCCCTTGTCATCTCGTGCTCCTTCTTGCCTCACACCAAAGTCCTTTCCAGAGCTCGTCTACAGAAGTTCTGCACATCTGAAAGCATTCAAGGTGACCAAGTCTGTTCAGTGGTCATTCCAGTATCTTTTGCTGCCCCTTGCCAAGTGCCTGTCGATGAGTTAAGCACATAGGAGATGCCCAGTAAGTTCTCAATGAAATGACTAGATTAACCTTGTGAAAGACTATGCAGACATCCTTATGCAAAAGAGATGGAGAAAGACAGGACTGGACAGCGGGGATGGTGAGCAAATGGCACCTACAAAATGCCTACTGTGTGCTAGGCACTTTTTATGCATCATGAATTTTCGCAATTCTAGTAGACGAGTGTTCAGGTAACCTTCTGCTGTGTAGCAAATTACCCCAAAACTTAGTCTCTTAAAGTAACAGTTATTTTGCTCGTGAATTTGTGATGAGGTGGGAGGGTGGAGAGACAACTCCTCTCTGCTCCAAGATGGCTTCCCAGAGGACAGGAGTATCCATTTTCAGGACAGCTCAGTCACGTCCTCCAGCCACGGTGGAACCACCCTGGTGGCCTAAGTTCCTCAGGCACAGCCCCAGGCTGGCTCGGGGTTGGATGGGTTGGAATAGAAAACACCTTGCCTTGAGAATACAGCCCTCCTTCTCAGCCTCTCCATTCCCCATTCCAAGGGGAGCTGCGGTTGGGGGGAAGCCAAGCCGAGCAAAAAATTTCAACAGAGAACGGAGGAAACACACCCACTGAGGTTCTCATAGCAACATAATCACGCACAGGCAGCAGCCTATTTCGGTGGGAGCCTGTCTGAGCTTCCCTCCTCCCCGGGTTAGTCACAGAATGAATGCTCTGCACAGGCAGCAGCAGTGTGGGGTGGGGTGCGGTGGGGTGGGTGGGGGGAGAGCGCTGGGCTGAAAGGCAGGACGCTGGGGAGCTGCTGTCTGATGCTCCGTCAGCTAGCTGAAGGATTGGACACATGCCCTCTCTCTGATCTCAGGGTCTTCATCCGTAAACGAGAGGACAGGAGTAAAGAGCTGTGAAGACCCTGTCTGATTTCTGTTGACAGTACAAGCACCGAACCTCTCTTGGTAGGAGACCGGATGCCTCAGGATCTCCTGTCTCTGAGAAAGATGGGATTCTCCAGGGTAAAAGTCATTCCTTAGATTCTGCTCCTTTACTTCCTACCCCCACCAGCTGCACGTGGGCAGGATGTGAAAGGGAAGGATAATGACCAGGTGTGGCCAAGACGCTACTCTAACCCCCAACACTATTCCAGGCCTGTGGTCTGGGAAAGGGAAGGGCTGAGGAGGCCATTCTTTCACTTAAACTTACTCCTCCTTCAGCACACACACACACACACACACACACACACGCACGCACG